ATAGTACATATATATAGGATACCATAGTTACAAATATACATATATACATATGTACATATATACATATGGAAATATATATGTATATATATATACATATATATTAATATATACTTATATATATATATATATATGCTTATTACTTATATACATATAAACATATATACAAATATATATATATACATATATACATATATACATGTATACATGTACTTATACATGTACTTATACATGTACTTGTGAATGTACTTGTGCATGCACTTGTGTATGTACTTGTGCATGTACTTGTGCATGTACTTGTGCATATACTTGTGCATGTACTTGTGCATGTACTTGTGCATGTACTTGTTCATGTCCTTGTGCATGTACTTGTGCATGTAATTTTGCATCTACTTGTACTTATACATGTACTTATACATGTGCATGTACTTGTACTTATACATGTACTTATACTTATGCATGTACTTATACGTGTACTTATACATATACATGTACATGTACATATACATGTACATGTACAGCTATATGTATATGTATATATATATATAATATATATATATGTGTGTGTGTGTGTGTTTGTGTGTGTGTGTGTGTCTGTCTATATATATATATATATATATATATGTATATGTATCGCGAATAAATATACATCATTTCGCAGATTCCGTTTATAAATACTGCTTTTGTAACAGTAGGCACCACACACCTCCCGTCCTTCTCACTACACACCTTCTTCCGCGAAGCCTCAGTTTTCTTGTAAGCGATCGTGCTAGAGTTCGCTGCCAATCTCTTGAGATTTTCGGCTCTATGATTAACAGGCTTAGCCACTTCTTCGAATATACGCTTCATCTCGGCCTCTCTAATCTGTTTCTTGACTGCCTTTCCTTCATTTCGCCTGGTTTTCATGATACCTTTCTTGCTGTAAGCTTTGGGTTTTATATCTGTTATCGTGTGTTGTGTAGTTTGTACATTCAGTATAGTACTCTGTTTGATGGTTGTAGGCTTCGTTCTGTCGTAGACTTCTAAAGCTCGCTGTATCAGACGTGAAGACATGTTGCTCTATATTTTAGAGTATTGCTTGTTAAAAATGTTATGGTATCTGAGGTCTGATTATCAATTGTATATACTTTAAAAAAATACCTCACTGGTAAAAGTATTGCGAATTTTGCAATTTACTATGTACTTGAAAAATAATACACGTGGTGACTGATCAAATGTCGATAAAGTAAGCAGCCACGTGCTGTTATGATTTAGTTGAAGTATTAATGATAGGCGGCCATGTCTGGTACACCACTATGCTGCTAAGAATATCCCTTTTTGTAGTATTATGAGATAAGTGTTCAATCAGTTTATGATTAGCATTATCTGGCGATACAGCGGTAGATCGTATGCGATCAAAACAGCTGTTCTTGCTACGGAGACTCTTTTTCTGGGAACTTATTTCGGGAGCGAGAAGACCGTTAGGGAACGATGATAGTAGTCGCCCACACATGGGTACACACAGATACTTCATTAAATCATTGTGAGATTTATATATCTCTCAGTATTGAACTCTCAGTATTGGACTCTCTTTACACGTTCGGTCGTGCATTCTTAAGCATATTTTCTCACGTCGGTTCCCGCTCTCTAAATGCTACGCACAAGCGGAAAGTACCGATTCAAGTGCGAGAAGAATTGCTTCAATCTTCGAATTGCATCTCCCAGTGTATTTCTAAACTTATGCACTTACACACTCAATGTGTACACGGACACACACCGACGTTAAACACACACACACCAACGTCAATATGGTTTTATATATCTCAATAATAACCTGCATCCCATACATATTCAATCCATAAGATTGACAATATGGTATGTGATGGAGGCGTGAAGTCTACGAGTTCAAAATAGCAACTAAACAAACAGTATGTACATACTGCCGGGGCGACACACTATTTTTAGGATCTAGCTTATTATATTACATATCGCATGTTTGCCATAATTATATGTTATGTCCATCTTTAAACTAAGGTAGTATACAATTATGATGTGACGTCTATGTGAAGAGGAATTATTGATCGCAAAATAGAGAAATGTCCAACCCAATAGTGATCCCATCCATCTGAAGGAAAACGGAAAAGGTGGTACTAGAGTTTTACTACAAACACTTTTTATAACACCTAGACGCATTATATAGACTATCTCTAGCACAGCATAACTATTTAAACTGGCAGGGACAATTCCATTTTGTTCACATACACATCCACCTTCAAGCTAGCTTGATGATTGTCACTTATGTTTGTACATAGCAACGTGTGTTTCAATTTACAAAGTCACAAGAGTCAGAATCAATAGTACGGAGAGACATCAAATTTTCCTTGTTTATGTATGTTTTGGTTGATACTATCGTGCATGTTACGAGATACACAAACGTGTATAGTTTAACGAAATTTGTGCAATTTAAAGAATTTCGTTAAGAATAGTATAATAAAATATATCCAACAAATACACCACAAACCATAAGCAGCGTACAATGGGTGGTGAAAACTGAGACCAGAATAGCAATATTTAGGAACGTTATAATTCACGCTATTGCATACCGGTGGTGATATGTATTAATCTTCACGTAGTAAAATATGTGTACAAAAACAAGGATTGGGCACACGGACACGTGTATTTTAAGTAAATCCTACAGCCCAGAGCTACAAAACTCTCCCTACGTTACTTGTACGCGCATACGTGTAAATACTGGATATTACTATTATGTAAAAGAGCAACAACATAAGTCGATGGAATCAAAACAAGTATTCTCACATGGCTTTCCGACGAAGATAAGAATCTAAATGGGCTGTTTCGCAAACATTGTAATTTTAAAGAGATATATTTTAAGATACCCTGACAGATGTTGCTATACCCATTTTTGTATTTTAATGCAGACAGATTTTCACCTGTTGTATTCGAACTTTCGTTGTATATATCTGATTGATTATAATATGATTTACAAGTCACAGGAACATAACTATATAAGCTCATCAGCGAAAAGCCGTGCATAAAGATACAATCTTTCAATCGAGGATTGCCTACACAACAATCCTGGGTATTCACGGCACATTCACCGACTATGAGCTGTATCTCGAACCTATCATCCCGTTGGAATTGTACCTGTCGCTCTTTCTTTCTGTCATAAGGGATAGGCATGCACACGCTATACCTTATTCACGAAATGACCATTCTTGTAGCTCGAATTGAATACTCTATCATCTTCCCGACAACTTTCATGTGGTACACATTGCAGTAGGCTGCGTTGTATGTGTGTGAACGTCTTCTGCTGCTGTACAGATGGTTTTATGTGTGTATCACACTCTGAGTGCGTACTAATTATGTACTTGTATACTCTACTTATATATGTATGTGTCCACGTAGTCAGGAAGTGGCGTACCTACTCTTCCTGGTCGATATTCTGCCAAGCACGTGAGCCCCATGCTCTGATGCGCAACTCATAAGAAGTCGTATTTCCCTGGCAGTTTATATAAATTTTCAAGCACGTCCGTAGGCGTGGCCATCATCTCCTTCGGGCTGAGCTCGCTAGAATATTTCTTCCAAGTTTTGGACATATACAGGTCCACATAATCGGGTCTTTCGTTCACTAATATACGGATATGTGTCCTTGCACTATGATGTTTCGTGGGCTCGGGATGCAACGGTGTCCATCAAATGTAATATAATACGGTCGTAAGAACAGTATATTTATCTCATATGGCTCACTGAGTGCCCTTTACCTTCAGCATCCAAGGCTTCTATCTTGACTCTATGACGATCCATATGGTCGACTCTAGGCGTCCAAACTTGGTGCACAAGCACAATCTCGCCCTTATCGTCGTGTTTGGATTCCATCTTGCCTGAGAAATGACCAAGCACTCCGACATAGGGTGCTATTCTGAAAGGTGTTCTGCTGAGGAAGTAGGCATGTCGCTAAACGTCTTTATCTCCCCTGGATGTTGCTAGTAGCTCCACGTCATTCCGTATTACATTCAGTAGCTCTAGTGCCACGTTTGATCGCCGGAGATCGATGAGCATAATGCCGGTGTCACACCCCACAGTCATATGCGTGCTAGTGAATAATTGAGACTTGTCCATGGATACAACGCGTTCGTCATACGCATTCTTCAGTATACCAATACTTTCTTCATTTGAATAGAGCTCCTTCTGCTTTGCGCTTATCAGTTTTGTATCAATGGTGTAATTCCCTTCAATATCCGCCCAGAACACTGTACCTAGACCCGGGCTGATGTCGGACACATGGTTGCCAGCGGATACGGAGGTGTCTCCTGTATTTGCCCAGTAGTCTGCCCCCCACTCACCGCCTAATTCAAGCATCGAGTAAAGTCCTGTAAGGTCAACTACTGGCAAAGTGTCGCAATCTAAAAATAGCACCTGTTCGAGATCTGTGTGATTGTTGAGATGAGTACGCCTAAGAATGAGTCTTTAGCTGAATGTCGCCAACCCAAGTTTTTGGGGTGGTGTACGCCAGGCGAGGTACCGCAGGTCATTGCAATAACGGGGGTGGTTGTTCGGGTACTATTCTGTTGAATTGTGGTACGACAGCTAAGTGATAATAATCATAGTGAACGATGCCAAAAGGCAATCTGTATAAAGCGCGCAATGCCCATCGTTCGTTGCATTGCCATAGTGTTCTGTAATGTTTTCACCTGATAAATTCACCTGATAAATTTATTTCAGTTCTGTACACATTGGCAAACACCTGTCATGATTTGCAAACACTTGATCTCCAGTTAGAAATTTATATCTAAACGCACACTATTGTGTATTTATTTGTGTATTGTGAACAACAAATAAATATCAATATGCTTAGTATGAGTATTCCGTGACACTATTTTGTAGAAAAAAAATTATGTACATTTGTACATTTCATAGCCTTCTACGTATAATTTATAGAAGGCTATGTACATATTTATTTATTTACACGCTTTATATCGTAAACAATTGGCAAGTCAATATCGACACTTCGACGCTTTCAGTCTTCGACACATTGACAGTCGACACACGTGACGTAAATACAAATAAATAAAGATCTACTCTGCACGCACATACCCGAGAGCCGAGCTCGCCACGAAGTCGCCATTCGTCAATCGGAAAATGAAATTCAGAAATCACATATTTTACTCAGGTGGGTTTTAGGGTTTATGTATTTGAAAAAAAAAAGGCCAGATAAACGACACACGGGTGTTGGGTGGTCATAAATTATCGGCCTTCTCCGACGGTTTAGGACTTCAGGCAATCTCTCTAGAGAGCTGTTTACAATATAGAATAAACGACCGATATATTTACCGCTTATTTCAAACTGTCGGAAATAACTTTTTTCATCTAAAAAAACATAGCCTCTGAAGACTTAAATTGTACAAAAAAAAATAGTGGAAGCTCTGGAGTTTTTGGAGTCGAGTCCTAGAGTCCTCCTATCTCGTGCCTGGGCCGCCCTGGGTCAACAGTCCGACATCCGACAGACAAAGGTCATAGTACGGTACTTAACAATATTTTGAAGATCCCGTAAAACCGTACTACCTTGAATGCCCTTGAACCTTGAAAGTAAAATCAAAGATTCAAAGTGCTAAATAAATATCCGAATTTGACGAAACGCACTTTTGTTTCGGTTCAACTTTCAAGGCTGTAAAGGATTTCATTGGCTAATATGCCTTGATGTACAATTGTACAAATACTAGAAGGCTAGGTTTTGTTTTGTTACAAATATTTATTTATCTTAATATATTTGAATTTTTTTTAAACAAGCAAAAAAAACAAAAACATGTAAAAGTATCTCGAAAGTCTTTAAACGGCACTGGTGACAATATAATTACTACCTACCTCAGCCCAGTTTCCTACCAGTCTCATACATGCTTTCTCGAGTTTACTTTGCTTTTTTATTTAGATGTAATTAGCGTGATTTTAGCCCATATATTGCACTTGTATTAGTTTTTTGTCGGCCTCAGAGGAGAGGTCGACGTATGTTAGACGCGAATAGTGTCAACTGTAAAACCTTGGGCGAATCCGAAGCAATAGTTAAGACAGAGGACGCCTATATACATGTGTCTAACTGCTAACATATGTCAAGCCCACAAGATCGACAAGGACCTAACATAAGTGCAACAAATGGGTTGTACCGCGCTACAATATCGAATATTTAAGAAAATTACGCTAATTACATTGTTACACCTATATTTAAGCAAAGTAAACTCGAGAAAGTATGTACGAGACTGGTAGGAAACTGGGCCTGAGGCGGTTAATAATTTCATTGTCTCTAGTGTCGTATAAATACATTCCTCACACACTGTATTGTGTATTTTTAAAACTGTAAATGTGTATGTAAATAGTAAATACAATGGGTCCTCGCTAGTTGTCAACTTTTTAGTTGTCCATTTCGATAGATGTCAACTTTCATTTTCGCATTGATCAATATTTTTTTTCAGTACTATCAGCGGCTCATACATTAGCTCTACCACTGACAGTATATCACTATTGGTGTTGAAGGACTGAATATCATATAGAACCGATCATTTCTCGTGTATAGAATTATGGGCCACGCTACCATAACGACACACGCACGTTTCTCGGTGTAAATATTTCACAGTTGTATACACATGCACCCTGATACGCGCATAACTATCACGATGTCTAGCACAGATATGTAAAAGGAAGTTCGTAGAGTAATGTATTTTAGTGGTGATATGCTGGGTCAAGAACACGCATCATATGGTCGGATAGGCCGAAAACCTGTGGTCCAATCAAATGGCTTGTATGTTTGTTTACTTGATAGATGTCAACTTTTTGTCTCAGAACGGTTGTTGACATCTAGCGAGGACCCACCGTATTGGGCACCGTGGCCTCATTTTTTAGATTTTTGAGATGAAAATCAGGGCAACATGTCTAAGTAAGTAGTAAATACATAGACCAAGGTTCCACAGAGACATGACTGTGAGACTGTGAAGAGTGAAGAGTGAAGTCACAAGTGTGACCCTCGGCACTGTGAGGCTGTGAGCAGGGCAGCAAGGCAACTAAAAACCTTTTTTTTAAAAGCTTGCTCTCATACATAGAGTCATAAGATTTCTTACCACAAATTCTTCGAGTGATACTGAGTGAAGTGCGAGTATTTTTCAAATTCAATGAGTAGATAAAACTATTCAAAGGTTTTTGAAAATAGTACGTATTTGGTGAAGTCGCTTTTGTTTTTTTGTTTTTGTGTTTTTGTTTAAAAAAAACAAAAGATGTTGCACTTGTGGGGGGTTTTTAGTAAAATCCCACAGACCAGCACATATTCACTTTTATTTTTTATGTAAAAAAAAATGTCTATACTTTATTATAATGTGCACAGCAACTCCAAATAGTTTCTTGGAAAAACTGACACGTATACTCTATACTGTAAGGAAAACCCTGCTTCTTGAAATAGTTTAGATATTCACAATTTCTCACCCCCAATTTTGAGTGAAATTTCACTGTAGTACCTTAGATTCCTCCCTAAGTCATCCTCTGTGATAGGAAGGTTAGAGGGGGTGGTACCCTATGAGATTAGTAGGGTGAAGAGAGAGTATAGTCATCTATATAAAGGTATAGATATGACTCTATGCTAGGTGTATACATTATGTAGAGTGGCGTATTTTATGTACACACTAGTCGTTCATTTATTTATACTTATTCTGTGAATTGTTTTTGAAATAAAGATGAAATTTAAACTTCTTTTTTCGCCGGAGAAGTTGTTTGACGATGTTTTTTAATTTAAATATGAAATGAAAAATGAAATTTGAGTGAAATTATGATCCTATTGATTGTTTTAGGGTTTTTGGGTTCCATAGTATAGTTTTCAAAAACAAAACAAGATCCCGCCAAAAAAATCATTCGTTAATTCCTTTTTTAAAATTTCATTCCTGAAAATCGGCAGCGAGACTGGTCTCGACTCTCGCCATTATGCCTAGATATGAAATTCGGGCTTCGAAATTTCATGTTTCATATTTCATTTCATTTTCAAAATCAGGGGTGAGAACAAGCCTTAGACCTTGTATGCAATTACTAATATCCCTTTTTTTTAAAGTATCCTCCATAATTTATAATACATGTTCTGAGATGTTGTCTCAACTTCTAGTGTTGTGTATCCTTGACAACTTTTAGAAATCTTATGCAGGCCTCACTGGACTAGTCTCCACCAGTAGTCTCTCACCCTGTCATCTACTGTCTTTTACTGGACATCCCGCCGTTGTCAACCATCTAGTTAAGCCAAGGTCGCAAATACAATAACTACAACTTTATATGTATTAAACTCTCCTTCTGGGCAGCCTTGAGTCCCTCTACTCTTTCCCACTGCCAGTTACTCCCTTAACCCAGTCAAATTACCCCTCTTACACGTCTGCGAATAACACTACTTTTATTGAACTTCTACGAGTGCTACAGGTTATGACCCTTGTGGGCAAATACATCACACAAATTGCACGTACCAATTCCAGTCATAGACATCATGACCGACTCGGAAATTTCATCGTCGAAGATGAAATGGAGTATGGACCCGCCTAAACATAATACTGGGGTTGACAAATAGCTGCAACACAACACTCGCAGCTAAATCTGACTACATTAACGATATTGAATCCGTTTTGAACTATAAATACGTCAAACATGAACTTCTTGCACGTACCGTTGCTACGCCGGTCGACAAGCGCACCAATGCTACCGATCGCGATCGCCTAGAATCATGCGAAAATTTCTTCACTCTTTTTAATCATGACTTGCCGTCCACTTAGTCATTATTAACCTAAACCGGGGTTTTCTAGTTGCATTCTTACTTGTTCATACTATTGTCTTAGTTGCTGAAAAATATTAGAACATTATATTTGTATACACTTTTAGTTATAAATAATAGAGAAAAGTATAATAAAAGATAGTTGTTCAAAGTAAAAGTAAATAGTCGCCAGTAGGTTATGGGCTTGTATTTGCTGCTGTCTACTATGCTCAGCTCCACCGATGCTACTGCTGGCTCCACTCGCATCACGTGGGCACGACTTGCGCTCTCAGGTGATAACTATGATCGCTGGGATGCCGACCTCCATCTCTCAAGCGTTGCGAACCCATAGCGCATGATCTGATTGAGATCACAGTCTGTACATGACTAAATACTCTGTCAACTAAAGTTGCCAGCTTAGGGTGTGCGATCCCATTTCGCTTAACATCTTTAAGTGCATCTACTAAGTTCTGGTACTTCAGCGTACGGTTTTGCGTCAGCCAAGCAAGAATGTTTCTATCATTCTGATCATCCAGAATAAAGGTAGGGTGTTGAGAATCCACTTGCGTGGTCTCTAAGTCTGTAGTGTTTCCAGACTCCTGTCCTCCGTTCGCGTGAAATGTCATATGTGCGCTCGTGTGCGTTTGATACACGTGACTTATTTAATAGTCGCATTATATGTATATATGCTTCAGGATTATCTTTCATTAATCCCTTTAAAAATAGGGTTTGAAAGACTTCGGGTTTGGACTTTATGTTATTAAACAGAGTCCTGGCTAGAGACTGACGCTTTTTAACTGTAGTGACATTAGTACATTGTATTTCTTGTGCACAGATTTGAAGTGCTGTGTTGCCTTTGAACTGCTTAACGTTCAATTTAGGAGAGAGTGGAATCTCTGATTCTTTGACCTTGATTAGGAAAGTCTCAGAAGGGGTCCATTTGATTGTTCCAATGGGACCTATACAACATATTATAGTATGTCTCCAGAGCGTCTTCTGGACAGCTCGGGTACCCTGATATAGGAAAGTATCTACGGAAGTACCTTCTTTTTTACATAAAAAAAAGGCGATTTGACATTTGGCATAAAAAAATGGTAAATATGGCACTAAATAAAGAGTATTTTGAAGTTTTTGAAGTATCTACTTCCTTATCGAAATATATTGGCTAGCATTGTATCATGCTTATTAATTTATTGAGCCATGGATCTTAACTCCGTAATGGGCAATACAACGTGATGGTAGCTTATGTATATGAACATAATTTAATAGCTTGGTAATTAGCTGCCATGGCGGATTAGCCCGTGCATTATGTTTGGAGAGGTCTATTTGAAAGGCGTCTCTCATAGGATGATTTAAAGTACTGTAATTCGATAGTTGTGCATTTTGATGTGTAGCAAATATATCTATGGTGTGTGGCCCAAATATCTTTTGAGCCAGTTCAAACCACCTGGGGTTACATTTCCAATCAGTGGCTGGTAACTCACGTACGGATTTATTAAAGTCCGGTACGAAGCGTGATAACATATCCGGTAAATGGTTATGTATACCTGGCAGATGTTTTATATCAAAAAGAACCTTTGATATTGTATCATGCCAGCGACTCAGTATTTGTGAGTCGGGTTTCATCTCTTTCATATATTGAAGAGATTTCTGATCACACATCAGCGTAAATGCTGTTCCGTATAAGTAATCTCGGAAGTGTGTTTGAGCTGCCACTATGGCTAATCGCTCTTGTTTGACAGTTGGATAATTCAACTGTGAAATATTCATCGCTCGACTAAAGAATTGTATATATCTAGGTTTGTTATCTATACCCTGATATAATACTCCTCCTAGGGCTAAGTCGGAGGTGTCCGTTGCTATTTCAAACAGCACGCCATCGACTGGTCCTTGTACAACAGGGGCTTGTTGGACTGCGTGCTTGAGGGCTTTAAATGTGACATCACACTCTTTAGTCCGCAAGTCTCCTAGTTTGCCCTTATGACATCTTAAGTGTCCAAAAGGTTTAAGGTAGTCAGTCAAATGTGGTACTCCATCTGAAAAGAAGTTTACAAACTCACACATGCTGTTCACATCTCTTCCTGTAGTTGGTGTTCGTCAATCTAACAGGTGTTCCCCCTTACAGCGGTCGATTTCAATACCTTCTCCAGATATACGGTAGCCTAAGAGCTGTATTTTGCTTATTTCTTCTCGTTAATCTTGAAGTTTTGTTCGTTGAGTCTCTGAAGGACTTGCCGGACTAATCCGGCATGCTCGCCCTTAGTCTTAGAAAAGATGACTATGTCATCTATGTAAACTTGCACGTTAGGCATGTCTGCAAATATTTCCTCTATTACCTGTTGCCAGAATGCTGGTAAAGAGTGCAACCCGAAAGGTGCACCTCTAAACCTATATTGTTTACCTTTCCAGGTATAACTAAAGTACTTACGATGAGGTTCATAAATTTGCATTTGATGATATCCCTGTGTTAGATCTATGGATGTAAACACAGTAGCACCTTCCATTCGTCTCAGTAACTCGTTTATACGAAGGAGATGGAAACTATGAGTCGGCAATAACTTATTTATTGGTCTCATATCTAGACAACGAATGTATGCCCTTCATGTTGGTCTTCCTCCGTTACCATATCCTCTATTACTCTCTGTTTTGGCGAGTTCGAATTGGGCCTCCAGGAATACTTCCTCCGTTATCCATTGAAACTTTCCATACGTATTGAATGAGGAGGACAGATTTCCCTCTCAGAGTAAATACTCTGAATTATTATGCTACTGTCGATATACGAGCATTGCTTGAACCTTTATACTACACTACACTTCACGGTAACTCAAATCTAAGGGTTCATGGCGACGAATCAGTAGTGGAGAAAATATTCGGAATCTACCATATGGAATACGGCATTGTACCTACACTACTCTTCGTGATTTCATCCCGGAGCAACTACGCATTTTGCTACGTAGCAATATACCGTGGTTACATCAACTCATCAACCAAGACTCACAGAAATTGGTGCGGCAGATTTGCTTGTCAACATGCGTGCAAAATGCAAAGATATTAAGCGAGGACAACTACCATTGGTCTTGTGCTGCAACGGTAGTTAACCAAATAGACACTGTCGTACTCCGGCCTGTTATTGCAAGTGCTGCGAAATACAGGGTTGTCGCACTTCAGACGTGGACTGAGAGTGTCATTGAGAAGGCAGCAAGCACGGCCGAGTCTACGCGTGTATCGATATGATCGATACGGTCATTTTTAGTGTAGAAACCACATCCTAATTCGATCGATGGGCGATGTTGCGTCGGACTATGTAATGGTGCGAATGTAATCTAGATATCCCAATTTTATTCTAATATCGAATTGTAATAGTTTGGTAGTGGACTGGTGACTGGCGGTGAGATACATATAACGTGTCTAAATTTACATCAGATTGCCTGCCTATCACATTTAAGCTATGATGAGCTCGTGTTTCATTTGCCGATTCAATTTAATTTATTGAGGGGTTCTCCTCCATACACGCAAGGATTGGTGGACTTGTTGAACGGGCCCTTCTCCGTCTCGAGATGCAAATTAAAAACGAAGTTATTTTAACCAACTCATTCAGGAGCGAGAGCGCAACAAAGTCAGTTCGGTACAGCCGTCTCTTCTATTCTTATCCATCCATTACATTCCTCCTTCCATACCATATTATTTCATTACATTAATAGATATGTACCTACTCCTCACCACCGGTAGCGCCCTTGACCGCTCCAGCCGCTCCTCTGGTTTGCAAGAACACTAGCTGCGCCTTGGCACTACTCACACTAATTCCACGCTGTCTGTCCTGCGCTTTGCCCATCTCACACGCCTTCTGCTTATCCTGTTCGTGCTGGATTACATCCCACTGTATGTCTCCTGGTAAGGGTATGGTTGCAATAGGCTCAGGGGTCGATGAGCTAGACTTGAGTAGATATGTACTACTCTTCTGTGGCTCCTCAATGCGCTGTCGCGTGCGTGTGACTATCACCGCCAGGTTGACGTTGGGTGTGCCGGAGGTGAATGTCGTCTTGTGCAAGTGGGCGATGAAATCACCCTCCTGTCATAATAAAATTATATTAAATGAATTAGATTCACCAATACTAACACCCTATTGTGTAGAAAGTGTCTGCTAAGCTCGGATAAGGCTTTAGGAAGGTATTGCTAGCACGTAGACTGTCACAAACTGATCAATTTTGAACCCGTATTGAGACTCTAGATGTGAGGATCAGATTTCGCACCACTGCAATACTGGTTGTCCAATGCCTTGATGAGTGACAAATCATCAGCACAATTGTAGAGCAGTTACATTATACAACGCTTCGTTGAAGGCTATAGCCTTCTGACTCCTCACAACTATCGAGCGTGGCAGCCATCTATGGTATTAACTGTACTTCAATTTTAGTAGTCATCGCTATGTTATACGAACAGACACTTATGCAAACACACGCACACCCAAACAAACACACACACATACATACATACACACACACACACACACATATATATA